TTTTTTTTTTTTTTTTTTTTGGAGCTACTCGCGTTCGTGATGGCTCTCAAGCGATGGCGGCACTTCCTCCTTGGGCGTCGTAGGTTCACATGGGTCACTGATAACAACCAGTTGACCTACTACAAGACGCAGGATATGGTGAGCAGCACTATCAGACAATGGATGTACTTCATCGACCAATTTGACTTCACACCGAAACATCTCGCCGGCCTCTCCAATCACGCAGCAAATGCACTCTCGCAAAGACTCGATCTTTGCGCTATGACACTCCATGCCTTCGCGCTCAACGAGGAACTCCAGTGGCACCTCATCCGAGGCCATGAGTCCGATCCTGATTTCGCCGCGCTCTACGGGCAACTATCTTCGGATCACCCGCTGGCTAGCCACTATTGCATCGTCGACGGGTACTTGCTCCTCCACTCGCGAGGCAAGGACTTATTGTGTGTCCCACGAGACCGTCGTCTTCGGACTCGCCTTCTCGGCGAGTACCACGATTCGGGACTCGCTGGCCATTTTGGAGTCAATCGGACTCTCGCACGACTTCGGCAACGATTTTGGCGACCCGATCTCATTACCGATGTCACGAGGTATTGGGACTCTTGCGAAGTTTGTCGACAAAGCAAGCCCTGCAACCGCAATCCCTACGGCGAGTTGCGCTCGGTGCCTATCCCACGGGAACCAGGCCTTTCCATTGCCATGGACGTCACCGGCCCGTTTCCCCGCGACCACTTCGGGCACGACGGCATCCTCACGGTCGTTGACCGATTGAGTAAATATGCGCGATTTCTCCCTTGCAAGTACTACGCCACGACTCCCGAACTTGCGCGCCTTTTGCACATCGGCTGGATTTGCAGCCACGGCGTACCGGAAGACATTGTTAGCGACCGCGACACTTGTTTCATGTCGGCATTCTGGACTTGTCTCATGCAGGAATCCAACATCAAGATGAAACCAAGTTCGACTCGGCATCCACAAACGGACGGGCACACGGAGCGGGCACATCAAACCGCTCAAATGATGCTTCGTACACTCATCCGTCCGGATCAGAAGGATTGGGTTGACCACCTCCCGGACATCGAGCTCGCCTACAACACTTCGTTGCATTCGGCGATCGGCGTGACTCCATTCGAGTTGCACCACGGTGGTCGGAAAGGTCGTATCTTCACTGATCTTCTCCTTCCACGAACATAGACTCCGCTTGCTCTCTCGCTTCCGTCCAGAAGTACAGGGAATTGCTGGCTCAAGCCCGCGCGAACATGCAAAAGGCTCAAGTCCGCATACAACAGCAAGCCAACAGGTGTAGCGTGCCATGTCCCACCCGCGCCAGTGATCTGGTTTGGGTCTCCGCGGAAGAGTTTACGCTCGAACAGGATGTTTCGCGCAAACTACTCCCCAAATGGTTTGGACCATGGATCGTCCTTTCAGCCGCAGGCGACGAGCCCTACGGCCCATCCTTTGTGATCGACAACCCTCCACAACTGTCGGTCCATCCAGTCTTTCACGCCGCAAAGTTGGCGACATACGCACCAGCTAAGAGCGACGACTTCCCAAGCCGATGATCGCAAGACCTAATATGCTGTCTATGGATGGTCATCAGGAAGTCGACTGCGTCATCACGGATCGCAAGTACGGCAACAAGCCTCAACAGTACAAAGTTATTTCAAAGCATGCGATCCCAACAACACTCGATGGATTTCAGGAGCAGATTTGAATGCATCCACACCGCTGATCTACGCTCACTACGAACGACAAAGGTTAGCTAAGGAAGTTTCACGACCTGCCCCTGCCGCCCGGACTTTGTCCCTCCCTCCGACAGGCAGCTTCGCCCTCGCAGGTAAGCTCGGTCTTTCAAGGAGGGGGAGGGTGTGGCATACGACGCAGCCACACGGGCCTCTAGGGCCCGACCAGATGGAAAATAAGAGCCTTCCAGGCCCTGTGTCGTTTCAGCCTAAAATAAGGGCACCGGAGGGCCATTTTCAGGCCCTCATAAGGTCGACCTGCCCTGAAACTTGGGCACCAAACCAGGGTTTTAGCACAGGCCATTTTTGGGCATGTTTCAAGACAACCTTTGTTTGAACTTCAACGCCAGGGTCTGGCACGATTCGGCATGGCCAAGAGCAGCCTCCCTGGCCGGACCAGCACTATATAGTACTGGTCCGCCCTGCACTTCACAGGCAGTCCACGTGCACTTCACGTGCAGGAGGCAGGCTGCAGTCTTCAGGATTCGGCAGCAGCACTTTGGAGGAGCGTTGCAGTAGTAGTAGTAGAGTTAGGAGTAGTCCTCAGCGCTGGGCGCTATTAGGAGCTAGAGTAGCGTTGGAGGGAGAGAGATGGTTGGCGGAGGCCAGGGAGACTTACCTCTGGCGCCATAGCTCCAGCTTCGTCTTCGATGTACCTGCAACAAGGCACCACCTTCACAGGTTAGTACCGGACTGAGAGAGAGAGAGAGAGTTCTTCTTCTTCCTCTTCTAAGTCCACCATCTCTCCCTCACCCTCTCGCCACGTGACTTCTCAGTATCTGCAGACTACTAGAGAGCGAGAGAGATTGGTGACTTTGGGACTTGATGACATTTGGATCCGGACTCTACATTGGGATTGAGACATTGGACGAGGGATTATTTGGGACCTGTACCCATCTTCCCCTCTTCTTCGTCTAACGCCCCTCTTCTTCGTCTGTGAATAGTTGGGGACTGGCGCATTCTTTCTGTATGAGCGCCAGGGCCCTTCACACCATGTAATGATGATGATGTATGTTTTGTCTGCATTGCGACATTGATTGTTCAGATCATTGGTATATTAGCCTCCCGCTGCGCTATCTTGTACTATATGAGAGAGGTCGGTTCTTGTTTTGGTCTGCACCTTCACGCTATGCGACAGTTTGGTATTGGAGCGGACCTCTCAATCAGAGGATCCGCCCAATCAAGAAGCCAGCTTGCTTGGTCGACTGATTGTTGAATGATTGATTGATTGATTGTTTATTAGTGAATCAAGAAGGACTTCGTCAAATCTCTGCAAATTTTATTCTTTTTTTTGCAAATTCGGATATTAGCATTTCGTTTTCTGCTTTACTCTGGGCATATTAGGTGAACTAGGGAGGTTGTCATATACACGGACTGGATCTATTCTTCTCTGAAAGTGGGACCTCCAGTCTATTTCGCGCAAAAAAAAAAAAAATCAAGATCGCATCTTTTTCGAAAGTTGAAACTTTGTGAAACCTTGCGTAGATCTCACTCATAGTACTCCTCTGAAATGCCTCATTCATAGCAGAAAAAAAAGGTGGGGGGTGATCCTCTTCTTTTATTTTTATTTTTATTCTGTTGATTAGGATCGGGAGGATACATAAAAGATTAGCATGGCCCCTATGCAAGGATGACACGCATAAATCGAGAAATGGTCCAAAAAAAAAGACCGGGAGGAAAGTACAGTTTGGTTGGTTACCTCCCTGCGTTTTCCCTCCCACCCAACCCTTTGCCTGCATTCCCGGTTTGGTAAAGTGCCACATCAGCAGTGCCATGTCAGCAATGCCACGTGAGCAATGCCATGTCAGTTGCAATGCCATGTCAGCAACAGTGCCATGCAGCAATAGTGCCACGTCAACAGTGCCACATCAGTAGCAGTGCCACGTCAGCAATAGTGCCCCGTCAGCAGTGCCACAACAACAGCAGTACCAACGTCAGCAGTGCCCCGCCACCATGACGGTTCCACCTTTGGGCATGCCAGGCCAACTCGCCAACAAGTCCATTGCCGCGTACCGATAATGGTTCCAAGCTCAGCTCGCATTGATCGAGGCTGAGGAACAGCGCCAGGCGGCAGCCGAGGCTGCCCGCCTACAGGCTGAAGCTGAAGCAATAGCTGAAAAGCAGCGGCTTTAGGTCGAGGCTGACGCAGATGGATTTTCCTTCCTAGATGAACGACAGACACGGCAGCCCAAGGAGGAAAATAGACTTCTATATGAAGCACATGCGGAGCAATGTTGTGGCGCACGTGCAGATGCCATGTGCGGAGATGGGGAGGGGGAGAGAGAGAGAGAGAGAGAGAGGATGGACACACATGAGAAGCAGCAGCTGAGTGAAGGTCCCGTCCGGCCGAATGAACGAACGAATCAAGAATGAATGAACCAACCAACTAACTGACCGGACCTGGGCCTAGGCGGAAGTGATATACCGGCCTAGGTCCAGGTACGGTGTAGGGGCCGTACCCTGAAGGACTTTCGAGCCTGAGTCGACCCCACTGCGGGTCCCATTCGGCTCGACCCGCCCACGCTCACGCTCAGGGCGCGGGTCGTTCGTCCCAGGGGCATCCCCACCTAGTGCTTTGAGATGGATGGGGACAGACCTTTTGCGAGAGGGCTTTACATTGGGGGATGTAGCTCCGCTCTCGATGGTAGCTCTTTAGGCACTCGTGGCGTTTGCTTGATTCTTTTTCGTCTGACCAGGCAATTGCTCCTTCCAATACGCAGGCAGTCCAAGGAATTGATTGAGAGTTTATCTTCATTTTGTGTGTAGGCCAAGCGTCATCCATTGGACCACACACCTTTTCACTAAGCCTAGCGACTCAAGACCGCCCCTGCGGCATCCTCGGGGTGGAGTGGCACCGCCCGGACCCCTAGCCGACATATTTTTTTTTTTTTGCTCGAGCCGCTAGTGTCGCATTCGCCTATCCGGAGCTGGCCTTAGTCTTTTCGGGCCTGGTATTGCACACAAGAGAGTCATCCCACTCAATCACCATGCAACCCATACTGCGTCATCCGCCATTCAACCAAGCATCCAACCCTCAATCACTTCCCGCATTCATAGTTAGGCTAAGTCTAAACTCTTCCCTTATCCCGTTCCTCCATCCTTGCCCGTGTTTTCTGCAGATCCAATCTTGCTCAACCCATCCTGGACACTCACCTGCACAAGACCACGCGAGCAAAGACCAAATGCAAACCCCATTGGGGTCAACACATCGCCCCTTCCCACATGCCTAAGTTTCCTTTGCCTTTGTGGTTACTTGGGTTGCCTTTCCTTTTCCCTCGAGCAAAACCATGCCTTCACCTTAGTCATGCAGCCGGGAAGGATGGTTGAGTCAAACTGACCTTGTCACAAAAACAACACTCCTTTCCGCTTTCACAAATGTTCCCAACAGCCTGGTATCCTTTCCTTCCTGGCGGCACAAGGGACCGACAATCCTTCCCTTGCCCTCGCTTTCCACCAAGTGAGGACCAAGTTCTTTTCCGTTCGTCCCCTGGCAATGTAACAGGCGAGGGTAGAGGTTAGTCACAAGCCATGGAGGGGAAGGAGTGAGGGAAGAGGTAAGGGTTAAAGAGTTTGAAGGAATGGGGGAAGAGGGCGAGAGAGAGAGAGAGAGAGAGAGAGAGAGAGAGAGAGAGAGAGAGAGAGAGAGAGAGAAGTTTCACATCCTAATCGACCTTGATTCTTGACCTGCCTCTACCCAAAATCCCGTGTACCCCCTTGCGATCCTCATGACTTTCGAGTGGACGAAGGGGACGATAGAGAAGAAGGGTTGGGGGTGGTCGGCTATGGTGGATGGTTGTAGGTGATGGAGGTGGAAGAAGGGTCGGGGTGGTCGACTATGGTGGATGGGTGTAGGTGATGGAGGTGGAAGAAGGGTTGGGGGTGGTCGGCTATGGTGGATGGGTGTAGGTGATGGAGG